AACGCTCAACAAAAAAAACTAAATTAAAGGCGCCTTCTATGCAAATCTCTGCCATGGCTTCACCACCACGCGGCACACAAGATGGCGCAGGTAGGCCGCGATCACCGGCCTCCAGCTCTGACCGGAGCGACATTACCTCGATCTCCACAAAGGGCCTCCCAGCTACTGACTCCTCCATACAAAAAATGCTAAACGGCCTGCAAGCCTCCCTACAAGCAGACTTTGCCAAAATAGCGAAAGAAATAAGGGCAGACATCAAAGCCCTGGGGGAACGCACAGACTACCTTGAACACAAAACGGAGGAAATTATCAGCGCGCATAATAACATGGCGGCAGCTTACGATACGGTGGATGCAAGACTAAACTCCATCCTTGCAAAACTAGCCGACCATGAAGACAGGGACAGGCGAAACAACATTCGCATACGAGGCATCCCTGAAGAGATCACCCCAAACAATCTGGGCACCCACGTCAAGACATTCTTTCACCTTCTAGCCCCGGACATTCCAGAGGAAGCCCTACTCCTCGACAGAACGCACCGATTGCCTAAACCGAAACACCTCCCAGCGTCCATCCCAAGGGACACTATAACTAGAGTACATTACTACACCACCAAGGAGGCTATAATGCAGGCATCCAGGAAACAACCGACCCTACCAGACGCCTACAGCAAAGTCCAGCTGTTCACCGACCTCTCGGCAACCACATTAGCAGCAAGGAAAAGCTTCCTGCCAATTACCAAAGCCTTGAGGACGGCAGATATCCCATACAAATGGGGCTTCCCAGCTCGCCTCATTCTCCGACGTAATGGCACCGAGAAACACATTCTCACTCCAGAGGACGGAAAGAAGATCCTTGAGGAATGGAACATACCTCTGGACGTCAGCAACCAAGCCACCCCTGCCGGGCAGAGAGCTGTTGCATCGCCGAAGACGCTCACACACGATTGGCATACAAAGGCCACAGCTAAGTGAAACTATATACATGTCACTATAGGACTAAGTTAACTGACTAGGTACCTACACCTTACTATTACCAAAAAAAAAAAAAAAGGTGGAAACAGGTACATGGACTTCACGGCACTACGTGCCACCGATAGGTCACCCTATCGGAAACGATATGTTCAATATTCTTTGGTCGCAGATTGTTTATATTTTGTTATGTCTGCTTCATGTTACTCAATGTAGTTACAACATAATGTTCCATTAACCCCAGAAGGTATATAGACTCCTTTAGAGGTCACCACAACGCCGCCTCAGTGTAATGTATCTATCTCACCCAACTCACGCTACCTACTGCCCCCTGACCCGTAGCGATGAGTAACCACTCCAGTGGCCCACTCACCTCGACCCATCACGGCCCCACACTCGACACCACACAAACGACATCATTCCACCTGCCGGCGCTTGCCTAAAAGGGAGAGGAAGCACTACACAACCAAACAAACATTAGCGTCAGCTGCCTCTCCAAACTATGCCAACACCATAATATTGTATATGATGTAATACTCACTACCTAACCTGGTACCACTCTTTTTGAGATGTAGTTAACGGAAACCCCACACGCTACTTCAACACCCTACAGGGTTGGGGATATAATATGTGACACACTTTAACATTTTTAAAGCAGGCACTGAGACGGGATAAAGGTGTCGATCCTACCAAGGTTATATTTCCCCCTCTTTTACATGCTTAAGTAACGCATACAACTCTTTGGTGTATATCCCATCGTCCCCATCCCTTACGTAAAGACAACAACTTTCCTTTGCACATTAACTGAGATAGTTTACGATGTGGTGATCGAACGCTAGAACAGGGATAGAAATGGACAGTGAATGCCGTACTTATTGCCTTGTGTACTTTGGCTCTATGGGCTACGACTTGCGCATTCCAAGATGGAATGACTGGGTTCCCTATGAGAATTCATATGCACAGAAACAACTAGATACTATACCAGGGACATCCGGTCTTCACATCCCTACTTACGGCCAGAGAGTATATCTTATCTTCTACCACCCCATACACTACTAACTCACCCTTACCAGACTTCTGGGATTCTCCCCCCCCCACAGGGGCTTCAGTGCCCGACGGAAATGGAGAACCTTAGGTCTCACCTCAGAGGCCTTTTCTTTGTATATAGTTTGATATATGTTATATGTTATACCCCCCATCCCCCTCCACCTCTCGCCAGGATATCTAACCACCACCGGGACATAACTATGCCCATGCCACAAATCTACTACCTAATCGAATATACAACGCCGCCTACATGGCTATTATTAAAGGTCGGACGACTCGAAGCACACACTAATATCTGGTTACGCACCACATCCGTGCTGATAACTCAGCAACATATACATAAATTAGAAATCCCCTGTCATGACACTTAATATACTTTCTATAAATACTAAAGGACTTAACTCGCCCCATAAACGACGCATGGCACTGTTGGAAGCAAAAAAACATAAGGCACATATCGCATTCTTCCAAGAAACCCACTTCCAAACTGCAATCCATCCCAAATTCTCATCTAGAAACTATCCGGTAGGATACCACAGCACTTATAAGAAAAAAAAAAAGAGGGGTCACGATATTGATCAGTAAAGACGTAGCGTTCCAATTTATAAAAAAAATAAGCGACAAAAAAGGACGCTACCTCCTCTTGCAATGCATTATTGACAACGCTCACTATACACTGGTGAATATTTATGGCCCACACACTGACCAGCACACCTTTCTAGATCATATCTTAACTCTAACACAGGCGCACAAATTTGGAGAAATACTAATAGGGGGAGACACTAACTTCCTTATAGACCCAGACTTAGACTCTACTTCAGCCAAGACAGTCTCACGAACTACATCACAACGTAGAACACGAGCTACGACTCTTGTCGATAACACTCTCAACACTCATGGCTACACGGACATATGGAGGACCCTTCATCCATTAGAAAGAGACTATACACACCACTCCCTAGTACACGACACATACTCCCGGATTGACCGCTTCTTAGTCCCATCAACACATATATCACGAATTTCCAAAACGGATATAGGCATGATAACATGGTCAGATCACGCACCTATAACAATCTCGATAAATACAATACACCCTACCAATGGCAACCGCACATGGCGACTTAATGATACCCTCCTTAATGACCACAAACTGGTCTCACAACTCACAGAAGATTTACAATCCTACTTTACTATCAATAACACAGAGGAAATAGGGGTAGAAACGCTTTGGCAAGCGCACAAGGCGGTCCTCCGAGGCCAATGCATTAAACACGCCAGCTTTAATAAAAAACAACGCACAAAAGCGTATACAGACATACACACGGAACTTGCCACCCTCACCCACACAAACAAACGTTCACCATCACATAGCATCACGAAACGAATTCTCCACCTACAAGCTAAACTAAAAGACCTGGAACTAGCCAAAACAACTTACTTACTGACTAGAATGAAACATAAATTCTTTGCAGAAGGGAATAGAGCAGGAAAAATTTTAGCTGCCCACCTTCAAACAAAAACTACATCCTCCAAGATAGCTTATATACTCACTAAAGAAGGGCACAAGATTACTAACCCACAAGACGTGGTGGAAGAATTTGGCAAGTACTATAGTAGCTTGTACAACTTAGTCGGAGAAACTGGAAATCCTACACCTAGTCAAAATGACATAGATGCTTTCCTGAACGACGTACAACTACCATCCATTACCCCGGAAGACTGTCATAAACTGACACAACCATTTACAACACAAGAGATTATAGATACCATCAAACAATTGCCGAAACACAAATCACCCGGGCCAGATGGGTTCACAAACCTATATTACCATACCTTCAAAGACATTCTGGCGCCCCACATGGCCAATTTATTTAACCGCTCGTTTCAAACAGGAACTATGCCCGCAGCTATGCTCCAAGCCCACATAACTACACTCCCCAAACCGGGAAAACCCCCGACCCAATGTCCCAACTTTAGGCCCATATCCCTCCTGAACTGCGATGCTAAAATATATGCCAAGCTGTTGGCTAACAGATTAGCCCCCATTCTGCCACAAATAGTACACAATGATCAATCAGGCTTCATAAAAGGGAGACAGGGCTCCGACAACACTAGGAAAATACTCAACATACTATCCCATGTAGAATCAGAGAATATCGAATGCTTGCTTCTAGCATTAGACGCTGAAAAGGCTTTCGATAGGCTTAATTGGACGTATATGACATCGGTACTAACGAAATTCGGCTTCCCACCAAAGCTTATCCAAGGGATTATGACGTTATATAAAAACCCCACCGCTCAAGTATACCAATCTGGATTCCTTTCCTCTCCATTCGGCCTAACTAATGGAACCAGACAGGGGTGCCCCCTATCCCTCTCCTTTTCATTCTTGCATTAGAACCCCTAGCCCACAAAATCCGACAAGACCCTCTCATTACAGGTATACACATAGGACAATCCAACTACCGATTATCAATGTTTGCAGATGATATCCTGCTCTCCCTTAGCAAACCAGACGTTTCACTACCCCGCTTAATGGATTTACTACAAGATTATGGCTCTATATCATACTACAAGCTTAATAGTAATAAAACACAGGCCCTACCGATACATATGTCGGAAGCACAGACACGCACACTACGCCAGACCTTCAACTTCGATTGGAGACAAAGACACATTACATATTTAGGAGTGAAATTAGCTTTACACACCTCAAAAATGGTATCCCTTAACTACAGACCCCTGCAGCACACCTGCACCTCACACTTCCAAAAGTGGAAGCACATCCACCTGTCGTGGCTAGGCAGACTCAATACTATTAAAATGGTGTTACTACCCAAAATCCTTTATGTATTTAGAATGTTACCTCTCAATGTCCCAACGCATATACTGAAAACTCTACAAACAACCTTAACTAGATTCATCTGGAACAAAGCAAAAGCCAGACTACCTCAATCCTTACTCCAGCTCCCGCAAACGATGGGAGGTCTCGGCTTTCCAAAACTAGCTACCTACTATGAAGCATCCATCCTCGAATCAGCAATCCGTATCCAAGCCCCCAGAAACACATTTCAGTGGGCTGACATGGAGCAGGAAAAATTCTCTCCGCACCTCATGTTAAACATACTATGGTCCCCCAAATTATACAGACCAAAGAAACTCCAATTATACCCCACCACTAGACTGACTATACAAATATGGGACAAACTATTGATCACCTTATCTGAGAAAGGAAAATTCTGTATATATGCCCCGTTGGAGGCACTGGAAGGAGTATCGGACTGGTTGTCACTAAAACCCTGGGCCACGTATGGCGTTAAACATATCAAAGACCTCTGCTCCCAAACCGACCTCATGGCCTTCCCTACATTACAGACCAACTACAAGATACCCAACTCCTTTATGTTCCAATACATACAACTAAAGAGCATTGTGCACACCAGGGTGACATTGAAACTCCCGACAACTCCACCAAAAGGGACCCACACATTGACTATCATTACAAGATGCCTGTCGGCACCGACAAAACCCAAATCCCTATCCCTATGTTATAAGACCCTTCTAAGCTACACACCACCACATGCTTTTAATTATGTAAAACAATGGGGGAAAGATAACATACCCGAACTTACCGATAGCCAATGGTTCCAGTCATTGAATGCTCTACGAGGCCTCACATCTTGTTTCTCTCATGTGGAGGCACACAAAAAAGTGATATACCGGTGGTACCTCACCCCACAAAGATTACATCAAATATATCCTACAGTAGACTCCAAATGTTGGAGATGCGGCTTAAAAGAGGGGACCATGACCCACATTTGGTGGGAATGTAGAGAGATCAAACCCTTGTGGTCACACGCTCAACAACTGTTAGAAAAAACACTAAGACACAAAGTTGACCTAACACCGATGGTGGCGATCCTATTGCTTTTCCCACCCACATGGAAAAAAGGAGCCAAAAAACTGGCCTCCACTATCATATTAGCGGCTAGAAACCTCATCGCTCTACATTGGCGAAGCGTATACTGCCCAACACACAAAGAACTACTGAACAAGATATATCAATTTTATAGATATGAAGTACTTTCCTCAGATTCCCATGCAAAAACACGGCTCACGGAACAGCTGTGGGAACCATGGCTTTCACTGATACATCACCACCCACCATAACCTAACTAGTCCAGTGCGGAAAACTGATTAGACAAGACGAGCCATCCCTATAGAAACAACCCACACACACTATAAGAGACGACACCATATGACACAAACTAGGGACACGCAATACCTAAATAGGATGATGTATATTTGTTTGTACAACTGTTTAAAATGGTGCAGATGTCTAAAGATGTATAATTGTAAACTGCTTACTGAACGTTTATGCTCTTAATGTGGTATATTCACCCATGTCAATCTCATTATACATGTGTATCAATGCCGACCGAATATTTGCCACAAATGAAGAATAAGATATCTTGACCGAGATGCTTTCCCCCCCCTCCCTTTCTTTTTTCTGTACCCTCAACTTCCCTTTCTGAAAATAAAAAAATTTTCAAATTCAAAAAGACAAAGCCAGTTTGTTTACTGCCAGAGAGAACAGGGAAGGAGAGACAACCTATATATTAGAGTGCAGAATACTATTACCATAAGTGAAAACTGGGCTCAATACTTTGTGCAGAACCAATTTCCCTGCAGGAAAATGCTGAATTCTTAGATGTAGGCAAATACAAGAGTCAGGGATTCTGCATTTATCACTGCTGTAGTTTGTAGAGTGATGATGGATGTGGTGAAACAACTATAAATATAAAAATATTCAGTCCTCCAGAAGCTCTATCATCAATTGCTTAGAGAGAAGTTCAAAGACACCCCATAAGTCAGGCGTTTGCATATCTATGGCACTGTGTTACCTTCCATCTATGCAGGATTTGGGTATCACAGAAGCAAAAAATACATTGAGTTAACCAGGTTTCTCCTAGTTGCTATTAGTGCCATAACTGTCATTTATTTGATCATATTTCTAAACATGGATATGTGTCTGTTCTTAACACTCTATTACATTTTGCCATAATGAAGAAATTAATTATGTCTAGTAGAACCCACAAGATGCTACGTCAGTTAAACCCTTATTTATATATGGTGTTATTTATTTGGGACAGCACATCAACATTTTTTTGATTGCCTACACACTTTAAGTGTGTTGTTTTTAACCCCTTAAGGACACATGACATTCCCTTTTATTCCAGAAGTTTGGTCCTTAAGGGGTTAAGTATTGACATTTTCATTGCTATCAGATGTATGAGTGCTTGGACATTTTTTCATAAAGGCTGTTTTTCCTATTTTAACATAAGAATAACACACTGAGTCAGTGCAGAAAATAAATAATCAAAATAAAATGCTAAGAAAAAGGTAAATTAGCTACATACTGCGGCAGCTGACCATGGTGCTGAACTTGAAAAAATAATGAGCTTATTAAATGCTTTTTAGGTAGTGATGTCCCGAACGGTTCGCCGCGGACGGCGAACATATGACCCAGTACCTCACAGTCAGCAGACACATTCCAGCCAATCAGCAGCAGACCCTCCCTCCCAGACCCTCCGAACCGTTCGGGACATCACTATTTGTAGGTTGTTTTTGGTGTGACTAAATCCCTGTGTTAATTTGCAGAACTCAGTAGATTTTTAGCAGCCCTGAAAGATTTAAAGCAGTTTTTCATATGTGGGCTTATCCTTCAATGTGTATTTAATCAATGTGTATTACTATTTGTTTTAGAACACTAATATTGTTTGCATGAAAAAAGTCAAAGGACAAATATACCTTGAAGGTTTTAAGTAAACTTACCAAAGTTGCACATTGTTAATAAATATCAAAATTCTCTATAAAATTTATTTCAGCTTCCACAGGTAATTGACTGGAATGAGCAATATATATATATATATATATATATATATATATATATATATATATATATATATATATATATATATATATATATATATATATATATATATATATATATATATATATATATATATCTGTAATGAACCCTTTGGAATGATATGGATTTCTGCACAAATTGGTCATAAAATGTGATCTGATCGTCATCTAAGTCACAACAATAGACAATCACAGTCTGCTTAAACTAATAACACACAAAGAATGACATGTTGCCATGTTTTTATTGAACACACCATGTAAACATTCACAGTGCAGGTGGAAAAAGTATGTGAACCCCTAGACTAATGACATTTCCAAGAGCTAATTGGAGTGAGATGTCAGCCAACTGGAGTCCAATCAATGAGATGAGATTGGAGGTGTTGGTTACAGCTGCCCTGCCCTATAAAAAACACACACCAGTTCTGGGTTTGCTTTTTACAAGAAGCATTGCCTGATGTGAATGATGCCTCGCACAAAAGAGCTCTCAGAAGACCTCCGATTAAGAATTGTTGACTTGCATAAAGCTGGAAAGGGTTATAAAAGTATCTCCAAAAGCCTTGCTGTTCATCAGTCCACGGTAAGACAAATTGTCTATAAATGGAGAAAGTTCAGCACTGCTGCTATTCTCCCTAGGAGTGGCCGTCCTGTAAAGATGACTGCAAGAGCACAGCGCAGACTGCTCAATGAGGTGAAGAAGAATCCTAGAGTGTCAGCTAAAGACTTACAAAAGTCACTGGCAAATGCTAACATCCCTGTTAGCGAATCTACAATACGTAAAACACTAAACAAGAATGGATTTCATGGGAGGATACCACAGAGGAAGCCACTGCTGTCCAAACAAAACATTGCTGCACCTTTACAGTTTGCACAAGAGCACCTGGATGTTCCACAGCAGTACTGGCAAAATATTCTGTGGACAGATTAAACCAAAGTTGAGTTGTTTGGAAGAAACACACAACACTATGTGTGGTGAAAAAAAGGCACAGCACACAAACATCAAAACCTCATCCCAACTGTGAAATATTGGTTTGGGGCTGCTTTGCTGTGTCAGAACCCGGACGGATTGCTATCAAAGGAAAAATGAATTCCCAAGTTTATCAAGACATTTTGTAGGAGAACTTAAGGCCATCTGTCTACCAGCTGAAGCTCAACAGAAGATGGGTGTTGCAACAGGACAATGACCCAAAGCATAGAAGTAAATCAACAACAGAATGGCTTAAACAGAAGAAAATACGTCTTCTGAAGTGGCCCAGTCAGAGTCCTGACCTCAACCCAATTGAGATGCTCTGGCATGACCTCAAGAAAGTGATCACACCAGACATCCCAAGAATATTGCTGAACTGAAACAGTTGTGTAAAGAGGAATGGTCAAGAATTACTCCTGACCGTTGTGCACGTCTGATCTGCAACTACAGGAAACGTTTAGTTGAAGTTATTGCTGCCAAAGGAGGGTCAACCAGTTATTAAATCCAAGGGTTCACATACTTTTTCCACCTGCACTGTGAATGTTTACATGGTGTGTTCAATAAAAACATGGCAACATTTCATTCTTTGTGTGTTATTAATTTAAGCAGACTGATTGTCTATTGTTGTGACTTAGATGATGATTGTCATGAACGCATCCTACTCCAAGAGTGTGCGTGACGTAGTTGTGGTGGTGAAAGGGTTAAAGTTCACTATTTGTCTGCACTAGACCGGAAATAATGACAAAATCCCCTTTTTAAAACCACCCACACTTAAACATAACAATATAACTATTACTATTTTAACGCTGCCACCACCAAGACAATTTATAAATGGGGTGCATTGGTCCCCCAGGTAAATCAATAATAAGACCCACCAAATATTACTTAGCACAATATTTAAGGAATTATAAAAATACTAACTAGTCTCTTCAGGTAACGTGATTCTTAACCAGACAAAGGCAAAACTTAATAAATTAATGTTTATTATGAGCAAAGATAGTCACAGTGCATATAACAATATATGATAAACAAATTATTTACACCAACAACGGATAAAAGCAAAAAGGATAAAATACAGAAGTCCTAATTACTCACTTAGGTTTTTTCAAAGTCCAACTTCTGTCCAGGGGGTCTCTGGCAAGGAAAGATGGTGACTCACTCAAAATTAGATCTTGGCCCCAAGCAAGTACACAAACAACCTTCAGGATCACAGGAGATATACCCTGTGAATTGCCACGCGTCACCCAGGGGTGGAGCAATAGGGATACTAAGTGACCACCTCCTTTGTTCCAAAAAACAACAAGCCACATACAAACTTTTGGTTTTATCTCCTCTACTGTACTTGCCACATAAATAATAATTGCCTCTGTGAATTTGTTATTGTTTTCCCATTCCATAGACATGTTGCACGCCCTGCCCATGATCCAATAGGACGGACATCACAATTCCTGCCACACGGTTTAAGTTGTGCAACTCATGTTTAGGCTTAATTAAGAGATTGGGCTTGTACCATTCCAAATATAATAAAAATGAGGCTTAATTATTAACCTGTGGGTAAGTATTAATGTTTCACTTGGATAAAATACTGGAACACAAGGATCGTCATGAAACTAATCCCATTACCATCAAAGGATTGAACTATCCTTTACAAGGTACATGCCAAATGGATGAAGAGACATTCAGACTTTTTCCAAGTGTAGAACCTCACACCTTGCAGAGCCTTGATTACTTCACATCCATATAGTAAAATCCTTTTCACATTCCTATGCCATTCATACTACCCCTTCTGTCATCTGACCTCTGT